TACTTGTCGATGGGTTCTCTGGAAAAACAACAACAAACATCAATTACTTCTTCCTGATGTGATAGAGAGAACTTCAATTAATTCTTCATGTTGTGATAAAGGATTGAAATAGAAAAACAATTGATCAAACATTGAGCCGAATTACCTGAGAACAATTTGTAGTTCATTCATCTCCAGTCGCAAAGCTCCAACGCCTCCGCTATACAGCAATGAAATCAGCCTAATTTCACGAATAACCAGTGATCTCTACTCTGTCTCTCTTTCTCTGGATCGATGTCGTCTTTATCTCTCACGATTTCTCTGAAACTCTGTTTCTCGGTATCTCTCACGATTTCTCTGAAACCTAAATTGATAATCGAATTGTATCTCTCACGATCTCTCTCGCTCTCTCTCTCTCTCTCTCTCTCTCTCGCTCTCTCTCTCTCGCCCTCTCTCTCTGAAGCTCTCTATGAAGCTCACTCTGAAGTTCTCTCTTTCAGCTGTTCGTCGCGACGACGAAGAACTGCAAAACCTTATTTCCAAATTCCAAACTTTGGGTCGGGTTCTTTAGTTTACATGGGCTTGGGTTAGGTGTTGGGTCGGGTTTTGTTAAATGGGGCTCGGGTTTAATCATTAAACGGGCAATCACTATTTCTAATCGCGATTTCGGATGTTTGATCGCAATTTAGACTGATTAACGTTTTAGGTGGAATTGAGCAGAGAAAAAAAGTTTAGGGGGGAAAATCAAGAGGTTAAAAGTTTGGGGGGATTTAGGCGGAAGGTGTACTATAGGGGGGGGGGAGTAGGCAGTCTTCCCTAAATAAAATTTAAAATTAAAATTTTGATAGAAGATTGAAGTATTCAAATTTTTGACAAAAATTTCAGAAAATTATATTTTTGTCAAATAGATTTGAAATTACATTTCGACACAAAATTTTTGCCAGAAAAATATACGGATTTCAAATATTTAGCGGAAAATTTGTGACAACATATTTAGCCAGAAATTTTTTGATATCTCACGAAATCAAATTAAAATACTCTAAAATAAATGTTTTAGTGGAAATGTTACAAATTCATGTTTTTGGCGGAAAATTCTGAAATCTGGTTTTCACGGAAGTTTTTTGAAATTATATTTTTAAATAATTTTGACGGAAGATTTACGGTTTCACTTCTATATATAGCAGAAAATTCATGAAATCAAAATTTTGACTGGTGGTTTTTGGAATCACATTTTTAATGTAAAGTTTTTGGCAGATTTTTATTTATGGATTCACTTTTTAGCGGAAAAATTACAAAAAGTTTGATAAAATGTTTTTAGATCATATTTTCGACGTAATTCTTTTGGTACGAAAATTACTTATTCATGTTTTGGGTATGAAATTTGTGAAATCGGTTTTTTGTTGGAAATTTTTGAAATCTTATTTTAAGTAAGTTTTTAGCGAAATATTTACAACTTCAATTGTTTGTGTAAAATTTTGCCGGCATCAGATTTTTAGAAGGAGATTTTTTCCACTTTTATTATCATCTTATTTTGTCTCACTATAAATAAAGATCAAAAGTTTATATTATATGTGAATGTATTTCAATTATATAGTGAGAATTACGAACCAGAAATAAGACGTAAAGTGACGGGAAAAAACTATAAAAAGATGAAAAATATAAATAAAAAGTAGAAAACAACGAATAACGAAAAATCATTTTATTTTATTTTACTTCTTTTTAAGATATTTTAAATTTTGTGTTTTATTTTTTACTATGGCCCAATTTTTCAAATCTATTAAAACATTTTTCACAAAACAAATTCTTACAAATATATTACCAAACATGCCAGTCACTTATTTATTAGTAATGATATATATATTATTAATAATTAAGTTTTTATAAAATTTTCATGCCCGCACATATGGACGGGTCAACTACCTAGTTTTATTATGAAACATGACATTTCTATTAGAGGGGTCCACTAGTTTGCTTTCAATCTGCTATTACTCTGTCAGTAATTTGCAATTAGTCTACCATTAGTCTGCCAGTAGTCTACATTCAATTATTTGACTAATCAATCTGCCAGTAGTCTCCATTCGGTCTACCGTTAGTCTGCCATTAGTCTACATTCAATTATTTGACCAATCAGTCTGCCAGTAGTCTGCATTCAGTCTGCCATTAGCCTACAAATAACAGTAGTTAGAAGGGTAGCGCTTATATTTATAAAAATCGTAAAAAGGGTCATTTTTACAATTTTCCCTCAATGGGGTACCCATTTCACATTATTTTATCATTCTGAATCACTTTAGAGCATTTCCTCTTAAATATATTAGTTATTTTTTGGGATCTATAGTATATTATCGGGTTATCTGATATATTTTCAAGTTTCAAGTATATTTTTTTAAAATTTCAGATATATTTTCGGATTTTCAGATATATTTTTGGGTTTTCAGGTTTCCAGATATATTTTAGAACTAGGTGGTTGGTCCGCACATATATGCCGCACATATGTGCGGGTATAATATTTTTGATATACATAGTTAAAACATTAGTATGTTTGTATATATATATATATATATTGTTTTAGTATTTCATAACTTTTTTCTGAAACTAATGTATTTTAAAAACTTTTTATTTTATGAAATTTGTAATAATATATAATCAAAAATATAAGTTATATTAAATAATAATAAAATTCTTATAATATTTTTTGAATATTATTTATAATATATTTTATTTTACCTTACACAATCTACAATAATTTTTAACGTCTTACATAATATGAATTTGAAATACGTATATAATATATTTTTAAGTATATATTTTATTTTCATTTATTACAAATTAAACTGAAATAGTTTTTACCATTTTTACTTATCCTAAGAGCGGATAGATAGTTGACATGCATTTGTGGGGGTACCAACCACCTCACTACACTTAGAATAGATAAAGATATTTTTAAAAAATAAATTGTACTATAAAAATTAAAATATAAATTAGACTGTAAACAAGCTTAACAAATACTAACATGCACGAAAAAGTTCATGTGATTTCTACTAATGCACAATTAATATTTATATATGTACGCAGATTTGTAAAAAAATCAAAATATGGCTCTTACTTGTTAAAAATTTTTTAAGTGACTTTGTAAAACAAAATGCCAGAGATTTATTTTTATACACTTCTATTTTTAATTCTTATTCATATTTATTTCATCTTATTTTAATTTATTATTTCATTTGGTTATTTTTTATTTCATTTATGATCTCAAATTTTTGATATACAATAAAAAAAATTACGAATATATATATATATATATATATATGAATATGATATAATTTTTTATATTTAAAATATGATAAGAGATAAGATGAGATGGTAACATAAGTTATGTATATTTTAGAAAACAACCATAAAAATGTGATAAAAGTTTTATAAAAATATATGGTCCTATTAATATTATAAAATAATAATTAGTATATACTTTATTCATTTAGTAAATATTGGTTTGAAAAGAAAAATTTAGCTTAAATTACATTTTTAATAAATTTCAATAAAAGTTAATTATTATTTTTTATTATTTTTAACATTTTATTCTTTAAATTATTTTAATCATGATTGTATTATTTAATTATTTGTTTATTTAAAACTTGTTTAGATGTTATTACTATATTTTGTAAATTAATAACTTTCTAAAATAAAAATATATCATAATTTAAACATTATTAATATATAAAATCTTTACTATTCTATTGGATAATTTAGTATTATTTTTTCGATTTCATATGAAATATATATATATTGTTGAAAACATTTTTTTAATTATATTTTATGAAATTATGAATATATGTAAAATATTAAAATCATAATAATATTTATTTTCTGTTAATTTGAAATTTGTTAATTTTAGTGTTATAAGTATAATCTAGTGTTTTTATGTTTTAATTCCACAAATTCTTTAATTTTAATTCAACCAATTAAAATATTTTATTTATTTTAGGAAGTTTAACATGTCACATTTACATGTCATCAATTAAAAGCACTAACTTTGGTTGTAGTGTTGACAAGTCAGCTATTTTCAATAATATTACTTCTCAAATAATATATAGTAGATTTATCTGAAATAAAAAAAAACCCGAACCAAAAACTCTACGATTCCAAAACGGATAAAAATTTATGAAACCCGATTTACCCGAAAACCAATAATCCGACCCAAACGCCCAAGACTAGTACTGCCTCTCATTTTTGTTGTAGTTGGAGATGACCAAGCCATGAATGAATGCAACAATAATTCAGTTGCCACTCCATTAGCATCTTGTGTCCATAAACTCCCCCCTCTTCCACAATCTCTCTACTTCACGACCTTATATTATTGCCATCATTTTTTTTTATCTTTTTGTTCTTACTTTTTGCATTGTACTTCTCATTACACTTTACTGACTTTTTGCATCTGCAGTTACAAACCTTTGAAAACTATGTCTTCCGAATTTTCTTTCTCAAGTCGAACCTGAGTTCCATTGTACTTCTTGTCACAATTTAATGACACTCTCAAGACTTCTCTTCTAACCACACTGAGCGCAAAACTATCTGTGCTTGTTAGTTTGTGGCAAATCCTTTCTCGGACTTCCACATACCATCAAAATCTACACCAACATCTGTCAAAGTTAAGATAGCTGCTTACTTGTCAACTTCAACTTATGCCTTACGTTTAGAGCTAAGAAATCGGATAGACGAGGAGGAAGGAGCCACTTCGCAAAAATGTATCATTTAATGATATATCCATGACTATTGCTTTTATTTTTACTTTCGCACTCTATAGTTTATACTAAGAAACTTAGTGAGAGAGAGAGAGAGAGAGGGAGAGGGAAACCAAAACACAAAAGCAGTAGCAGAGAAAGTTGTGATTTTATTCAGTCCAAACGCAAACATGTATCCAAAACACAGTAAACACCAGAGTAGATTTTGTTTCAAGAAAATGAGTACCAAAGTACCAATTTGGAGATTCAACCTCCATTAGCAAGAAAACCAAAAAAATATGCTTAAGGAAGCGTGCGCTGGTATAGAGGCAGAGCTCCCAAGGCCTCTCGTTCCAATCTTTCCTTCTCAACCTGCAAATGCTCAAGATAGAATGATGATCAAAACTCAAAAACAGATTAAGCATTGCAGAATTTACAATTATTGTAAATCTAAAAGAGACTTACTAGAGCCAGCATCTCCTGAAGATAGCCTCTGAATGGCGTCTGCACAGCCTGCAAAACGAAATTAAGATCTCAAATAAGAATGCCACAAAGCCATCAATAGAAGAAATGTACACGAAATCAGCATTTAACAAAGGAAACTAAGGTTCTCATTTTTTTATCAATTCGAATCTCATGATGAGCTAAAGCAGAGCAAAGTTACTAAATGCATGTAAGAAACAAAGCATGTAATACAATTTGATAACATAAATTACTGTAATTCACCAAAGTAAGATCAACACCAAAATTGGTACAGTTTCAATGTTATTTATTTCGATCCAAATAGCTAGTGATCCTCTGATTCTTATAGAATCAGATTCCCTCAGTTCACAGCAAAAAAAAAAAAAAAACTCAATTTTATCGGTCAACTATAATGATTCGTGGTCACTTACGCTTCAAAATGTAACGTTCTCAATTTTTATTAAAAGAACATAAGTTTCTCAATTCCTATCAATCTGAATCTCCTGATGAGCTAAAGAAGAGCAAAAGTTACAAAATGTAAGCAAGAAACAAATCATGTTGTATAATTTCATTACATAAATTACAATGATTCACACAAGCAAGATCCACAACACCAAATCGGTAACAGTTTGAATGCATCTCTTTCAATCTAAATAGCTAGTGATTCTCTGATTCTTATAATTTCTTCAATCTACAGCAAAACAACCAAACGAAATCCCAAATTCATTCCACATTCAAACTCAATTACGGTTCTTGGTCTCTTAATTACAAACTCTTGGCTTCAAAATGTAATTTTTCTGATTTAAAAAAAAAAGGTACCTGAAGGTCCTTGGGGAGGTACTCGTGCTTCATGGATAGATCCATGGCGCGCTTGAGACGCTGGTTACGAGCATCAACGACCTCTCTGGGAAGTCTGTTCATCGCCTCTTTAATGTCCATACTGTAATACTGATCATACAGATCATCGTACCTAAGGCCTGATTCATACGCAACAGAGTCATGAAACGCAAAACCGATTAACGAATTAGAATCAGAAACGGATTCGGGTTCGGATACAGAAACTAGGGTTTTCGATGAGATCTGACCGTATCTTCGAAGGCGAGTCGATATCGCTCTCATGTGCATCCGAGCGAGGAAGTTCTTGCTTGGATCAATGAAGGATTTGAGAAACGACGACATCTTTTTCACCCACTGATGGATAGCGCAACGAGCTCCTTCCTCAATCCCAGAATCTGAATGTGATGTTTCGTCTCCGTCTTAAATTACCTGGAAACGATTTCAGGGAAACGACATCGTACATAAACCTTTTTCTCTAGATAAAACATTTTTACAAATTAATACTCCAGTGTTAACATTAAAGAATTATTATTTTATATAAAAATACTAATGAACAGATGAAATCATCTTTATTAATTTATGGAAATTTAGCCTATAATTTTTTAAACGATCTTTTAAATTAATACCATACCAACAAAATTAGATGAATTATTGGAAAAAACTATGTTTTTAACTCGTCTTACGTGTGAATTTGTATTAATAGTTTGGTTTAATTTTTTTTTAGTTATTAGTTTTAAAATTATCAAAAATATAATAGATATATACAAAAAAATTATGTAAAAGAATTTAAAATACAATGTGTTGATTTTTACTATTTTTTGTTTATAAAACTTTAAATCTTATTAAATAAAATAATAACAATAATACTTATCAAATTATCCAACTTCGACGTGCACACATGTTTGATTTAGAGAAAGGTTTATTTGCTAAGATCTTGTTGTTTTATTTAGTTTTCCATAAGATTTCTACATTACTTTTTTCTTTAAGGTTTATATATTAAATTATTTAATTTTTATTGAATATATCAATAATGTTGTGTACCTATACATATATAATCCAATATTCATGTTGATTAGCATTTAGTTTTATTAGAAACTGCCATGATCGTACAAAGTCGTTTCCTGTTTCTCTAAGATGTCTTCCACGAGTTTTATTTTATATCTTTATTCAGTTTATCATTGAGATTTTTTTTTGTAATCTAATATTTGATAATTTTAGTTTTTAAACTTGTAAGATCGGTGGTGTGGAGTTTTCGCATTATTTTTTACGGTTTTTATATTTTGTGTGCTTTCTGCATATTTTGATTCGAATATTTTATCTAGATATATAAATTTGAGTTTGATTCATAACTCTATCATACATTATTATCTAAATAAAAATTTAAAAGGTGTTACTCATGTATTATTAATGTTGGTCCAGATATAAGTAGTAGCTATGAATAAAAATCAGATTTTACTGCTTGAAAAATTTGTTAAGTTACTTATGTAGTATTTTTTTTGTTAGTTTTTAAATTAGAAGTACTCAGTGTATAACCTTTGTATATTTAAAGAATATGCTTGATTAAGAAATTTATGTTGCAACTTTAGATAGTTATTTATTGTAGATGCCAATACTTTAAAAATCTGTTACTTTACATCTTTTGATAGTAAATATATATTTTATTTTAATTTATACAAATTTATTTTGTATGATTGATATAGTTAGGACTTATATTTTTTTTATAGTAAAGTTTGTTGTTGTTCATTGTCAAAATAGGTAGCATAGATATCAAGTTAATTTATTTTACTTGAATGTTTTTTATTTTTTAAAATTTTCTTTTATAATATTAGTTTTTATTTGAGTTATAATGCTGATTTAACATACTATAAATATTCATTTTAAATTTTATATCGACTTCTCTCAAAATATTACTGCATCATTTGCTTTTTTGTTTGTTAAGTTTTATTATGTTAATTTTCAAAAATTGTTAGCCTTAATATGACGTTAGGTTTGTTTATATGACTTTTCTTCTTTTTTATTTACTTTTTTATATTGATTTCTATTTTATTTTGAAATATAATTTCTTGTAAGTATTGACATTTTTGTAAGTTTTGTAAAAATTCATCTAAAAAGAAATTGGTCTTAGAGAACAAAAGACAAAGATAATTTAAACACCAAGATCCACAGCATCCGCCACTAACTGCTTCAGCTTGGCAATCTCTTCAGCATTGTTTTTTTATCTGAAAACGCATTTGATTGTTCTAAAATTTATACTCATCAACCTTCTCCCTTAACTTATCAATCTCTTCTTCGATAGTGTGAACCTATATTTTCCTTATGTGGTAACTGTCATCTATAGATAAAGATAAATATAGCATCACAAAATCAAGAGCTCCAAAACCAAATGACGAAAACATGATCTGAAACAACAAAATGAACTTTGAAAACAAAACCCCAACTTGAAAATCACAAATTATACTTTAAACACATCGCAGGTTAAGTATCTCCTTCCTAGGTTGGCTTCGGGCTGAGAGGTCTCCTCGGTGAATTTTCTACCACATGAACATCTTGTCGGAATGCCATTGTCAGTATCAGCCACATAGTAAAGCCTGTTGATTAGCCTTTTGTTCCTCTTCTCGTCACTATAGGTCGGGTCCATAATTAAGAGCTCATGAGAAGAAAAAATGGGAATGAGAGAGAGAAAGAGAGAGATGTGAGGAAGAAATGAGACAGAGGAGAGAGGAAACTCGATAATGAAATAGAGATGAGAAGGAATTCTTTTTTGGGATTTTGAGTATTGGGCGCCAAAAATTTAGGGATTTGGCGCCAAAAATTTACTCACATGTGCACTGCCAAATTTACACATAGTTATATATAATATAATAAATGTACGAAAATTTCAAATAGTTATGTTTTAGATGCTTTCCATTTTAATTAGTATTACCTACCTTTAAATTTTGTTTTTTTTAGTTTTACAGTTTATACAAGTCGATTGACATATAATTATTATTGATTTATGCTTTAATATGTTTAAAATCAAAATTTCTGTAACTTTATCATCATGTTGGTTATTATTTACAAAATGATCTTAAAAGTATAAAGAGTATATTGAGTAGATTCTTAAATGACCCAATATGATATAATTTCACAATGTCCTAACTAATACACATTATAAATTTAATTTGTCCTACTTAATACACAATAAGTCTGTTGAGTAATTTTTGTTTCGGTTTTGTAAAATCAAAATTATTTTTTTTCTATTATCAACTATAATCAGTGATACCAGATATACATTTGCTCAGTAATACCAGTTTTACCAGATATATGTCTGCTTGGTAATGCTCAGTTATACCAGTATTACCCAATAGTCACATAAACAATATATAGTATTACATAGCGAAAAACCAGTTTTATGTAGATGTTTTACAAAACAAAAGATAAAGATAAGATCAAACACTACTCAAATTTTCAAATAACAACCATTGGAGTCCTTGTCTTGGCTGTCTTTTATTTTGCGTCGGTGGACACCGTTCTCCAGCCAATAGAAACCTTTTAACTATCTTTTTTCCCTTCTTTTTTACTAGATCCGGAGGTATGATCTGCACCTCTTTGAAGTAATCTGGGACATTCCATTCAGATCTATCCGGTACTCGATAAATTGTCTAGTAATATATCATTTCCCACAATTCCATCCAGTAATGTTTATACACAAATAATGTAATTGTAATTAGATATCACCACCGTCTTCCAAATCAATGAAAACAGTTAGTGCGTGCACACAAGGATACCTTTCAATATCGAAGAACCTGCAACTGCACCTTTTCAATAGAAAGTTCACCAAATAAGGCTTTCCATCACTATCAATGACATTGTATTCAAGCTGGAAACTGTTTAGCTCTATCACAATTAATTTCCTAGCAACAGTCCATAAATCGTGCAAGTAGTTCTCAACTAAAGGCACCAGTTTATTATCAATCGATCCAGCCATGACCTCCTTCTGATGTTCATTAAACCGATCAGAAATTTTTATAATGATAGCATCAAGTATGGGTATTAAGGATTGCATCCTTAAAAACACTGTTCAAAGATTCCACACATTTGCTTGTATCTATGTTGTATCTTTCACCTGGAAAATAACTCTTTGCCCATTTTTATTTTGCGGTACTATCTTCTAGATACTTAGCCGCAGAAGGATATCTCGTCTTAAAAGAACTATAAGCACAACTGAACTCATGCACCATGTAAAGCCCACTACACTCCATAAATCTCCATGCGACTACGTCTTTGTTGACGTTAGAAGCATGACCTTTCATATTTTGGAAAAAATGCCAAACACAATACCCATGATGAGCTTGTGAATACATGTTAACTATCACGCTGATGAGGGTTGCATTTCTGTCACTCATATATACCTATTCGGAAGAGTCTCTTACAACGGTTTTCAGTATATAAAAAAATCAGGTCCAACTTGCAGTATCCTCATCACCGAGTACACCAAATGTTATGGGATAATGATGACAATTATCATCCTGAGCTGAGGCAAAAACTAGTACACAACTATATCAGTTCTTGAGAATAGTTGCATCCACAATTATCACTTTCCTCATAACTTTAAACCCTTCAATGCTAGCTCCCAGAGCAATGATTAGGTACCTGAATTTTCCCTTCTCATCCAATATCACCCTTGTTAATGTACCAGGATTCACCTCCTCTAACATGTACAAATAACAATACAGAATCTTGTAGCTTTCTTCAAGACTACCATGTAAATCAGAAACAACTAGATTTTTTCCTCTCAACACTGTGGAGAAGGATATCTCCACACCAAGTTTTGTCTTAACAAGATTCATGATCATATTAGGACTTATAGTTTCCATTTGTCCTAGTTAATCGTCATGCAAAAAGAGGCAACTAATCGTGGATTGCTTTTCCTCTTCAAGTTGCTTCTACTCTGACTAGCTCGAGAGCATGTATGCATCTTCGTGTACCTTCTAATCGAGAAAATGTCTGTCCGTGGAATCCTTGCAGCTCGTAAACCCCATTTACAGCTTTCTTGAGGACATTTTAGCAGTACTAGCATTTTTACAACTTTTTATAACATAACTAAAACAGTTAACAAATGGGGCTCTATCCATAAACTCTTGCAGTGCCTTCCTATTTGGAAGTTTTTGGCACACTCTCACCTAAACTGTATTCCCATGCCTCCATAAACTGACTAGATTCTACAACAGGTGGAAGCTCAACATATTCATCAAGCATATCTGATCTATCCATACAGTTATCCACATATTCATCACATGGTGTATCATCACCATCCTTTATCGCTTCATGCTGCTGTTTTGCTTGTTCTTTGTCTACGTACA